CACACGCGCGAGGGGTTGTGACGTGGCGTCAAGTCCCACGGCGGCGATTCTCTGGAGACTGGAAAGGCCAAGTTCTTTCTGCCACGATCGATCTTCGCACCGGCATTCAACGTGTATCGTGTACTCGTGTCTCTTCAATCTATACACTGCCCGATTTTCGGTTCACCGCTTTAGTGTTTTTACCACTCGGGAAAGAGATCAATTTTTCCACGGCGATCGAGGTGAAAAAAATCGTTCGTTAATCGCAACGTGCCAATTTTAATAATTTTTTTGCATTTCTTTTTAATTAATTCGTAATTTTGATGATTCTGTGTCTATGCGATATGATGATATTGGATGTAATTGCGAATTGTAATTGCAAAAAGGATTTGCATTTCTTATTTACAATTTTTAAAATATATATATGTGTGGAACGTGATTAATAAAAATTTGTTGTGCAATGTTAACTTGTGATCAGATGATTAATATTTAGCTTGATTCTGACAAAATGAACGTGTTTATTTTTTCCTATGCAGAAGTTGATATCAAGTTTCTTTCTCTTTCTGCTTTATTGATCATCCTCTACACATTGTTCACAGTACACGGAAAGGAATGGAATAGTATGTGTAGAATTAAAAAGCAAGGTCGCAGTTCCAACTCCTCTTGCACTGGTTTACCAGTTAATAACATTAATGAATCGACAAGTTACAGTCTTCGTGCAATTTTCGTGCGTCGAAGAAAATTTGTAAAATATCGATAACTTTTCTACAAAACCTGCGTATTCTATAAATGAAAATAGAAAAAAAAGAAAATGTCACGTGAAATTTATTTATAAACACTTTATTACAAAGTAATAGGCAAATATTGAACGCAGTTTAAATATACGACAACAGATTTGATATTAGAAAATACGAGAGGTCGATTATTTATACTTTATTTGTAAAAGGCAATATTCGAAAAAAAAAAAAAATATATAATCCATACGCCTCGATGACACGTTTAATTCAAAAAAAGTAAAAGCTTTTTAGAAAATTAACTCACGTTACACGAACAATGCAAATTAACTACGATAATTTCCTATTTAATTGTCTTTTAATACAGCATTATATAAACAGAATTATAATAAATTAAACAATATTACGTAATAAACTAAACGTATCACAGTGTAATAAGTACCTTAAATACCGTAAATGATATTTTCCAATTTTCTGACGATCGATTAAAATGTTTTAATTCCCATTTCGAAACGAGATGTTTATGTTTAATCTCTAATACAAAATATCCTGCATTTTCAGGCTACGTTCGATATAATAACCTCCCCCCCAAAATAAATTTATAACAAAGCGCTTTTAACTTTGTGTAACATTTCGTTCTTATTTTCACACACACACACACACACATATATATATGATAAATTATTCTTGCAATTTCAAAGCACTCTACCTAATTATTGATAATATTGGCTTTTGCATAGATGTCGCGTTTTCCATCACCAATGTACAACGATGCAAAACTTTGCATCTTCACAGTTGTCCGAGAGCTTCGAAACTCTTTTTCCGACTTTGAGTCTTCTATAAATTTATCCATCCATCTCGATCGAACGAGATTTTTAGATTAACTCGATCAAAAAAATATGGAAATTATCTTTTCTCCACATCGCAGAATATTCGTTGCCCTTTTTTTCCATCTTCCTTGTCGTCTTCATCTACAACAATGATTCTCTTGGAATATTTAAAATTATCTCTCTTAAAATTGTAATTTTTAATTTTCATATCATCCATATCATCGTTGATATTATAAACCAGAAGGCAGAATGTATATATATATAATCAAAAATCAAGATCTCGGCGAGCAAAAGTTGCTTCAACTCGAGCGAAAGTCGAAGAGTCGCGGTAAAATCGGGTCACCGAATTGTTCGATTCGCACCTTCCGCGGCTTCGAACAGCTCTAATGGAGCCGATATTAAAATCGATAACAATTCTGGTGAACTTGATCCACCATCAGTTAATATTTTGATGCCGCCGATCAATATTTCGTGCGTTTACAAAATCGATTCAATTACCAAGAATTAATCTCTCCGTTTCCCCTCTGCTTCTTCCCGAAAATCTCGTGTGATTCTCGAGGAAGAGTAAAGTTCGGGGGATCTTTTCGATAATTTTGAATCCATGGTGAACGATAAATTGAAAGAATTGCAATTGTCGATTGATCGAAATTGTTGACTATCGGATCGTTGACGATTTTATTGGATTTCATTGGGATATGATTCATACATACGCCATGCGCAACTTGGACTATTACGACTATTAGAAAAAAATATGCGAGACGATTTTTCAGTTACGAAGACGGATGAAACGTGCATCGAATGCGCAAGTTAATGTTTTTTTTCTTTCTTTTTTCTTCTTTTTCGCAGGTAATATGTTTCATAATAATAATGAGCTTCTTCAACACACTTGAAACACTTCGTCGAATGATTTAAAACTTCTCAACTCGCGCGATTATAAGAATTTGTTTTGCTTATGTGTGTCTTTATGGCTGACGGAATAATTATTTTTCGAAATAGGATACACGTTTTTCTATTCTTGTACTTCTAACGAATCTCCATGAATCATAAATCATCGCTAGAAAAAAAAAAAGAAAAACAATTCTTCCTTTATTCTTCTAAAAAGAAAAAAAAAAATCTGGTTCTAAGAAATTAACGGAATACGTGCAGTAGTATCGAATAGTGAATTCCAATCTTATCAGATTTGTCTAAAAGGAAAAAGCTTGGGTAAATCCATTCATAACCGTAGAAGTTTCCGATAATGGTACGGGCAATAAGCGTCCAAGAAAGGATCTTCGAGTTTCCATTCAAGGAAGGAATGCAAACGGCTATGATCAGCATGTGTAGCAGCCAAGAATATATTTTCCAGTCGTGAAGTTACGACGAAGTTTAGACGATCGAAACGGGAGAAACAAGACGCAACACCGACACAAGGGTGATCGATATCGAGTCGATTCGTGACCCTCGAAACACGCTGTTATCGTTGCCACAGTGCAACGGTCTTTCCTTTGTACAATCAACTCTTATATTCAATTAGAACTTTGCGTTCGATACGAGCGTGCACACATGCATAGAATGATAATATATTGGAACACCTTTGGAGAATCGATTTCGAAGGATGAAATATGAATTTAATTTTTTGTTTTTTTTTCTTTTCTTTGAACAAGAAAAGATTTGCAAATTTGAGTGAATTTTTGATATTTGATGCGTTTTATTAATTCAATTTTTATATTCAGGAAATTAGATAGATCTTTATTCTATATCAGGAAATTTTTGAAATTTGAAATTTCAGAGAGAACTGTGTCGTGTATTGAGAAAAGCGACGATCAGCAATTTTAAAATAGGAATTTTCATTTGTTGAGAAAAAAAATTAACAAGACATTATTCATAATGCAAATATATGTGTGTAAATATTCAACGTAAAATGCGTATTAATTTGCTTAATTTGTTGTTCATCTATGTTCGAAAATCGTATCTATACTTTCCATCACTTGTTCTCGTTTCCTTCGATTTTTCATATCGAATTTTTTCTTTTAACCAAATATTTTTATTCTACCTCGATTCGTTCAAATTTCACCATCAAATTTCAAAGAAACGAATCTTCTTCGAAGAAAATTTCCATAATTAATTCGTTCATCCTCTTATCTAGAAACCAACAAGCCCAGTCGATTATTGTATTATCAAATTCCTCTCTTCGAAAAAAAAAAACTTTTTCTCGTATATAACTGACGCGTATCGAGATTTTTTTAATTTCGGAAGAATCGTGTTCAACTAACAGGTGTTCGACGTGCGTGTAGATCCAACCAAGAAAAGACATGCACGAGAGAGGAGCTTATTAAACCTGATTTACGTCTCTCGTTCGGTCACGACAGCACGACTGAGGTAGGCGCGATTCCGTTGCACCGTTTTTCAAATATTAGCCGAATGATATTAACCAAATGATCGAATATTCACAAAATGCAAATTTTCTATGCTAACGTCACGTTCAAAGTTCCATCGAACTAATTAATGATTCGTTACGACAGAATTTTTCGCTAATATTCCACCGAATGTATGAAACTTTTGTGTCGAAGAGAAAAAATAATCGTACGCTTGCACGTGATCAATAATTTGTTTAACAATTTTCTTTTTTCCCTAATATTGATATGCTCGACGATTTTGGATTATACTTCTTTTAGAAAAAAGTATGACATAAATAAAAACAAGAAAGGAGCGCAGACGAGATTATTTTTTCTAATTTAATACGATTGTAAATTTGATTTGAAAAATGCTGAAAAGATTATTTATTATATTATCGGCTGCAATTCTTTCTTGAAAATGTTTCACTTTTCAAATAGCCATCAAATAAATAATTCAAAGAGTCAACCTCTCTATATATTATTGAACATTCTCCATTTGCGAGATTCCTCGAAATATATATACAGGGTGTCGTGTAATACAGAAGATAATTCTGTTAAAAAGAAAGAAGGAAAATAATTCTTTCGAATTATCGAAGAAATCCGGTTGCTAGCTACGCGACATCCTGTACAATTCGCATCCCCCAAACGTTTCTCTCGAGGCGAATCGCGAACCCTTTCGTGATCGAATAGCCAAGAAAATAGATTATGCATGCACGTACCGCGATCGTTTTCTCGGTGAAAGTCGTAAGTTTCGTCGGGCCACGAAATCTGTGCCGCCACCACGTTCGTTTCGTCGTTTCATTGGCTCGCTCGAGGCGGCTTACGAAAGTCCGACGATGCATGTTAAACTTCCCCCACCCCGGTCCACATGCATGCGACACGCGACCCACACCAGAGAACACACTGTACACAGCACACCTAACATGACCGATCGGTCTGATCTGACAGATCGTTGCCTGTCCCCAGGAGGCATACTCCGTACTTTGGCCAACCGGACTACAGGCTCTACGAGTTGAACAAGAGGTTACAACAGCGTACAGAGGTGAGTCCATTTTTTTTTTCTTTTTTCTTTATCTCTTCACCTCACTTGCTCTAATTTATTTACCTTGCAGCGATAGATTTTAAGATTTAACATCCTCCTTCCTATAATATTAATTTTTATAATTTGTGAAAATTAGGCGTTCGATCGATGCGTTTATTATAAAAATTTGCCATGAAATTTAATTATCGTGAAACGCAATATTTTTTTTTTTTTTTTAACGAATAGATCAGAGGAGAAGTGTTCTCTGTCGAGAAGAGGATATCGCGGTGAAAAATCGTAGGTTAGAAAGTGAGCATGAAGCATTCGGTTTGGAAAGATGTATAAGCGTTGGAGGAGGTTATCGGCGATAAATTAAACGCGACTCGAGGCGAAGTGTTGGTCGGTTATTATTTCTCGGTCGCATGCTTATTTCGAGGTGCACTGCAAAGAGTTGGCGTAAGGTGAAGGAAGTTCGTTAGTAGATAGGGTAACGGATTAGAGACAGATGACTAGGTATTAACGTACGGGGAAATATGTGCCGATGATTAATCGCTTTCCGTTTGTGCAACCTTGTTTCTGATCAGATTGAATTACGGAGAGAGGAGCAGAATACGCGCGTTCTCCAACCTCGACCGTTGTTTCTTCCTTTTTTCTTAGAAGCTGACACAATGATAGATCTATCTTGTTAGATCGATTTTCTTCTTTAATTTTATTTTCCAAGTGTAAACGATAAAAGATAAGAAGGAATTGCACGGAATTTTTATTTTTCATCGAGTGACGAAGTTGGAACGAACTTCCCTCTCCCGTTATGAATATTTCTCTCTGAACTTTTTGTTTTTTTTTCTATTTATTTATAGTCAAGCTCGATCACTTTTCACACTTTCTACGCTTCTGACAAATGATATTTAGTAAAATCTTTGATACAGAAACTCGGTTCGATCGATATTAATATTATTTCGAATTGTTGAATATTGTTTTTTCCTAATTATTTTATAGGCACTCTAATAATCCTGTTTGAATTATCTTTTTATCTTCCAGAGCTTAGAGCTTGTTGACTGTAATCTTAAAGATAAATCAATTTGAAAGAAATTCGTCGAAATGGTGATAACTGTATGATAATTACACACAGAAGTCAAGCAGATTAATTCGATCGAGTGATATTTGAAAATGATCGAGCATTGATCGATCAGACAATTGCGTGACAATTCGAAAATTCGAGGATGCGATACCTGACAATATCTTGAATTTTTGAAAATCTCCAGATTTCAACTCTTTCGAATTTTCCATATACATATCTTTCGCATAATAAGTTTCGGATATTCGATACTGGTCCCAATAATAATTCTTAAATACGATTTATATAAGCGAAATTTCATCCAAATATTGTTTCCACGTAATTTTATTAGATAGCTTTTAAACTTAATGATTTGCATAAATTATTTACATGGCACGCAGCACCAATAACAATCCGATCGAAACAATTCAATTTTCTTCAGTTTAAACAAAAACTTGACTTTTTATTGTTTTTTTTTTTATAACAATGCCAGTCAGAAATAGCATTCGAGTTGTTAAATTAATTTCAAAGAAATTCGTCGAAATGATGATAACTGTATGACAATTACACACAGAAGTCAAGTAGATTAATTCGATCGAGGAAAAGTGATCGATCAGACAATTGCGTGACAATTCGAAAATTCAAGGTTTTTCCAAAAATATTTCGATTACTTGCGATTCCTGACAATATTCTGAATTCTTATGAGTTCTTGTGAAATTCTTGAAAATCTCCAGATTTCGATCCTTTCGAATTTTCCATGTAGAGATACCTTCAATAATAATTCTTAAACGCGATTTATATAAACGAAATTTCATCCAAATATTGTTTCCACGTAATTTTATTAGATATCTTTTAAATTTAATGATTTGCATAAATTGTTTATAGCAGCACCAACAACAATTCGATCGAAACAATTCAATTTTCTTCAGCCAAAACTCGATCTTCTTATTGTTTTTTTTTTATAACAATGCCAATCAGAAATAGCATTCGAGTTGTTAAAGTGATCCTTCGAGATCGTGTATTAATCTAGCGTTCGAAGTGACTCCCTATATAAAACATCCATTCCTTCCATTTCATGCATTATAAAATCCTCTAGCTCGTGTACCGTGGCCAGATAAACTTATTCTCCTTTCAGAGATTCCCGATAATAATGATAAGATACAATCCTCGAGAACGGATTATCGTTGGCGCACATGTCTCGTTTCTGGACTATCGAGTTTTCCGTCGATTTCAGCCAGGCTAGATTAATAGATTCTTTGTGGGGGGATTGCTCGACTTGGTGCGACTTTCGCGGCAGAATCGCGAAATTTATCGAAGATCGCCGCCATTCTCCCTATGATGACCTATGAGAAGCAGTTCGATAATCGATCAAATCATCGGTTTATTACGTCTTACGTGAATCGCATACTATTTGAACGCGTTGCAGAGAAAGAAAAATCGTGGAAAAAGATTGTTGTCATATATGTTAAATCTTTCATTTGTGGAAAATTTAAATGTACAAAAACGCAGGAAATATTCAAAGAGAAAAGAAAAGGAAAGGAAGCCGAGACGAATTTCTAATCCGCGTTGATAAAAATTCCAATAAATCATTCACAATTGGCACATTTTTAAACACTCTCTTCAGAGAATATATCACAAGTTCCAAAATTGTAATAATTTTCAATCCCTGGTTAACATTTAAAACAATGGAGCTTGACTCGCGTTTGAAATAGTACGAAAACCACTTCGAATCGATTAACAAGCCAGGTCGAATTGATCGTGGCGCATTTGTCGCGCCAACAGGGGCACGCGAATGTTTCTCCTGCTCGCCTTTTTGCGGCGAATCTCCAGGAGCCCGTTTTTCTTTTGGGCCAACAGTGATCAATGCGCCATTAGGACAAAGCACCGTGAAAAAAAGGGCGAAGGAAGAGAAAGAGAGAGAGAGAGAGAGAGGCCGGGGTTAATGTGTCTTAATGAGCCTCTGATACTTGAGAGGCGCGTTCATTAATCTCCAGGAGGAGGACCAAATGGACAACCGGTATTCACTTCAGAGATCTCGATATTATCGGTCCGTCACGCCGGTTTACGTTTGTCGCGTGGCGATCATCAGCATAAAAACCTGACTGCAATTAACCCTTTCGCTAGATTGAGC